TTACTAAAGAGGGGATATGAGCACTTTAGGACTTAATGGTTCGATGTGCAATGAGGAAAATCTGTCGACTTACTGACTTAGTTCATTTGGTTTGTTTGAGCGTCAAATTATACAATGATTACCCCCTTCTGTTTCCGGTATAACCGGAAGTGTACACAGCATTTGTGGAAATGTGTAGAGGTTCGGCCGAGAAAACAGTCGTTGTTCATGTTTAGAAGTTGTTTTGCAAGGTGCAAGCTTATATTGTTCTCAGTCTTGTTTGAATTGTCAAATATATGCTATACCAGTTTAAAGTAGTGTTTTTGTGAATGACTGAACATAAATGTAACATTCCAGTTTATATTCAAAGTATTTAAGTATATTCATTTTCTTCGTTGTGAAGTGTCTGAGTCTGCCGGTCGCTTTTGACCTCCCGATCCGGAGTTGCAGAGAGAAGAATAGCGGATAGCGTGATAATTATTATTAAGCAGCTCTGCAATTGTAATAATTGCACTGTTAATTAAAAGCAATAAATAAAGTTGGATGCTTAAATGTGTGGTTATTTTGTGACTTAGCTACAGTTAACTTATAACTGCTAGAACAAAATATCAGCTCTCCTCCAAACTTCTACCTCAGCATTATGGCGGCCAATCAAATAGCCCAACAGGGCCTCAGTCGTGTGCAAAATGCTGACTTTTTGCCAAGGAATAAATCACAGTGAAACTAGGATCAGCTCCGAATAACGAAACAAATGCTCTAACAGGGTCTCAGTGATATGTTAATTGCAGACCTGTTTCTGCGACTATGCCGCACCGCTGACAGTATCACCCGTGCTGCTACGCGTGGCGCGGATGGGGGCTAAACTAGATGGCTGGGACTCACCAGCAGCAGCAACCGCATCTCCTGCAGCTTCCACTGATTTATTTGCTTGTGAGTCCCACGCATCTAGTTTAGATCCCCATCCAAGCCGCACTTAGTGGCGTGGGGAATACTGTCGGCGGTGAGTTTAATCGCGTTTTGTGCATGCCGAAAAGTGTGAGAACAACAACAACGCTAATCTGCGTCAGAGCGCATGATCTGCCCGCCATGTGGCTATTATCATCTGTAATGTTGCGTGTCTCGGAACTGTCAGTGGTCGCTAGAATCGTAAGCAGAAACGTTTGAAATTGTCAGTGGTCGCTATTATCGTCTGCAGTGTAGCGTCTCTTGAAATTGTCAAGTAATCGTAGTTTTGCTGCAATTTCTTTCTTGGCAGAAATTCCACATTTTACACACGACTGAGGCCCTGTTAGGCTGTTTGGCTGCCATAATGCTGGGGTAGAAGTTCGGAGGAGAGCCAAATATCTAATTGATTGAGTTGACAGACTTGACTAGTTTTTGAGGGTAAAATAAAAAGTTAAAAAGGATGCTAAGGACTCAGTCTAATAATTTCAACTGTCATTATCATTTCAAATAAATCCACAAGCTAGATAAAGCGGTACCTTGGGTTATAAACTTAAGTCATTCTTTGACGCCATTCACGAACAGAAACACATTTTCCCATTGAAATCAACAGATCCAATAATCCGTTCACTGACCCTAATAAATGCTTATGTATATTTACAATATGCATATATTATAAACACATATATATTTATGTGTGGCAAAGGACAAAGATCTGTACATCCAGGAAGACTGGCTAATAAACAGCATTTAATCTCGGAAGCTGAAATATTTTGGCCACATTAAGCGCCACAGTTGATTAGAACAATGGGCTGTCCTCCGAATAATGGTCCCAAATTATCGAGTCCTAAAATATACCCTAACAGGGCCTCAGTCACGTGTCATTTGCGCACTTCCGTCGTCTTAAATTGCGGACTTCCGCCACTGCCGAGAGTATCCTCCATGCCGCACGCGCGGCGTTGATTCCGGCTTAACTAGATGTCTGGGACTCACGAGCAGCAGCTACCGCATCTCCTGCAGCTCCTTCATTTTATTTGCTTGTGGGTCCTAGCCATCTAGTTTAGCCGCAATCCATGTGGTGTGGGGGATACTCGTGGCAGTATAGTCCCTGGAAGTCCGCAATTGACACGTGACTGAGGCTCTGTTAAGGTATATTTTCGGCCTCGATAATTTGGGACCATTATTCGGAGGATAGCCGAACAATGTTATTATAAGAAACAGAAGGCACAGTACCAGAAAGAAAGGACAGACGCTGATCAGCATAGAGATGGGCACAGAATATGACTACTTGATTATGAAAGTGGACAAGGCGGGAATGTTGGCGAGGGACCGAGTTTCTTTTAGGCAGTCTTTGATGAGACATTCTACAAATGAGTTGTTACGGAATGATGATATGCAGCAAAAATTTATAATATACAGTATAAAACTGCCTATGTAGTTAATACTTGCTGGCACAGGTAGATGATAGAGGAGATGAAAGGCTACTCCTTCGGAGAAGAGACCCATTCCATAATGCAGTCAAGTCTGGATAAGTAAAAGTCGCAAGGACCTAAGAAAATGCTTCCACTTATCAGGATTTCTTCTTATCCAGACAGCACACACAATAGAGAAAATTGCCAGGACTAAGCTAGTCATGTCAACTTAACTGAAATTGGACTTATCTGAGTTTGATTTAAGTGGACTTGACTGTAATGTCTGGCAACTTTCTAGGTATTTTTTTTTTCCTTGTTTGCTTCCTGGAAAATGGTATGATTGCTGGCTCAAGGGCTGGTGATTTCACAAGAAAACAACCCAGAGAAGTTTGTCTTTTTCTTTACTGGATAAAGTTTCTGAAAATAAGACATTAAATTGTCATTTAAAATGTCCACTGCATGCACTTAATTCCACTTGCTACACACATTTTCTTTAAAGATCTCAGCACTTAAAACATGAACCACCTCTTCCTCCTCCTCTCCTGTGTGCTCCTGTTGCATACAACAGATGCTGTTAGTGAGCCAAAAAACGGGACACAGCAGCCAGTTTTTGTGAGTCGATTCAAAATTTTTTGAAAAAAGGTTTATGGACCGATTTGTTTATGACCTGAGGTACCATTGTATTTGATCTTCACTCGTGAAAGCAAAGGAAAGAAGTAGACCTAAGATAAGAGGTCACAGAAAGTGATACCACTACATGAGGATTTGAACATACCTGCCATCTACCTGAACCAACATCTTTGCAATATAGACAGAATTAATAAAATCCTTGAATATGAAAGTACATAAGGTAAGAGAGCTGACGAGAGATCAAGTTTATTTCAAGCAGACCGCGTGAGAGCAACGCTCTGCTATAAGATGGTGACCGCAACACAGAATTGCAATGGACACAACAGAAAACATTTTACAAAATAAAATAAAAAATCAAGTGAACTGTGACTTAAGCTTAACAAAATGGGCAAGTAGAACAGCATGCACAAAATGAATACACCAGGCACTCAGTTCAGTAGCTGAGTGATGGAACTGTTGGATTCTTAGTCCAGAAATGGGTAAATTGTCTCAGCAAACCACAGCTACAAATTAAAAAAAACGAATGTCAATGGTCAGCCAGCTTATGCGCTATATTGGACTGGAAGTCCTTCATTCTCTATTGTTTATAAACATTGTCTATAAAACCAGATAAATATTTTTTCAAGCATTTACTATAAATAAAGATAATTTCTTTACGGAGCTCAGTTTTGTTGCAGTTGTTTGATTGTTTGTAAACTCTATTGGAAAAACCCACATGAGAAGTGGAACTAGTCAACTTCCACAGTAACAAAAGATTAAATGAATATTTTGGCTAGGAAACCTTCATCAGCGTTAAAAAACTGACATTACAGCAACATAAAAGACTACATAAAATGCATTAGCATTTTGAATAAAAGTCAACTGGATGTCAGAATATCCTTGCATGTGGAACACGGAAGCTACTGGCGAATAACCTCATTTAAAAACAGACAGAAAGTGAACAGGAAGTGATCCAGAAAACTAGGTTAGGCTAGAGATTTTTCGGTCAAGATTGCATGGCAGTCTGATTGAGTTTGGATGAGACAATTTGATAAGAGGAAAGTAATGGATGGCACTAGCAGAAGATACCATCGGGCTTGTGGCCTCAGGTGACAGAAATGGATACACAGGAACACACATGACATCAGGTCATTATCCCATTAGGAAGAGAATGTAAAGAGTGGTGTAACTGCATGGCAGAATTAAAAGTACAACAACTTATAGATGAAAATGCTGGGTTAAACAATGTAGTAGTTTACACTGGTAGCTCTGTTCATCAAAGTAAAAGATATGGCTGGGTATTTTCAGCTAGAGTGAAGGGAAAGATTGTGGCAGAACAAAATATGGCTTATGTATATGCAGCTCTGAAAATGGAGCTACCAGAGGAATTATGGCGTCTGGTTCTGTTGGTAGTGCAGAAGGTTACAAATGTGGCATGAGTGGAGTTACCAGAGGAATTATGGCGTCTGGTTCTGTTGGTAGTGCAGAAGGTTACAAATGTGGCATGAGTGGATACTGTGCATCAGGATTAAACGGACTCCCATGTCTTGGGTATTCAGGAGTACGAGAAATGAAAGAGCAGATTTTCTGGCTACAGGAACACTCATACTGGACAAAGGAGATATTCTGAAGACCATTTATGAATGAATGCTGATAGACGACACTAAGTTAGGTGAAATAACATGTGTAAGAATATGCGGAGGAAGAGAAAAGTGTATAATAAATCATCACTATACTAGGGAAACAGCAACTACACTTTAAGACCTTTGCTGCTATAGACAGAGCATCTTGCCATAAAAATGATGCGATTGTCACTATCTTTAAAGTGGATTGCTTTATTGTGACTTATTATCTTTAAAATATATTGTTTAATATTTAACCAAAGTGTGTCTTTCAGTATTTAAACCTTTCTTCACATCATTTGTATTTATATTGTTTTTTATGTCAACAGCCTCTGCAGATAAAAACAGCTTGCAGGCATCAGATATCCACTCTCTTGCTGGGCATAACTGATACTTCTGCACATTAATTTTAAGACTAAAAAGATCAGTGCTGAGAATGTGGTTCGACGAAATTGGAGAAGTATTTGAGATGTTTAGGGGCAGCTTTCCTCTATCATTCCTATTTTTTGTTCCAATCCTGATCATAATATCACCAGTCAGCCCTGTAAATGCAGCACAGGAGTTTGGGGTCTACAGAATGCAGCAGTTTGACTTACAAGGATCTAGTTTTGGTAATTTTTTTTAACAAAGCTTTTCCGCCCTTAATAATTGTGTTAATTATACATGAATAATATCGTAAAATTATGACCTATAAATATGTTAAGGTAGCTTTTCAGTGTATTATTTGGCATTCTGAATGTTAATTTGTGTTGGAACGAATTCTGAAATTGGATGAAAGTGGTTTTCATCACTCGTGATGGACAAACAACAATTCATAAATACTGTGTACTTCTCTTAACATGTTTAAGTGACAGATTTACTCCTCTGTGATTTCTCAAAGTTCATAAAGGAATTGCATTTTACTGTTTTAATTTTGTTGAAACTGCCAGCTTGCTGGTTTGGCTAATAAAAATTTTTCCTTGGAATTACATTTTTTTTATGTGTAACGAAATCTTGAAGGACAGTCAGCTAAACCAGTTTTTTCTTGAAGTTTAGTTATGTCAGCTTTCTTAAACTGTAGACTTCATGATTTCGACACACAGTTTGTGATAATTAAATTTTTATCAAGTTTCCAGTAAATTGAATTAAAAAACGTTAACCATGAAGCAGTTCCTTATAGATTCTGAAAAATCCAAGCCCTGAAAAAAAATGTGTGATAGAATTCCTTCTAAAGCAGACAAAAGGCAATATCTGGATTTCTGAACAAATCTAGGTGAACACAATTTGGTGGGGGGGGGGGGGGGGGATAGAATGTAAAAACAGTTTTATTGTGCCTTAAAAAAGCTTTTCCTCCGTTCTCTGTTCCCGGCACATGGGTCCTGGAGCCCAATTTAGGGGTAAAAAACATAGACCCGGTGTTCCCAATTAAGCATGTCATAAAAGTTTACTAATCAGCTTTCATCTGCCTGAAAGTCAAGGACCAACAGTCTGCATACAATTAGTTAGTCGAGGTTCCAACATAGCTGCAGATGGATCATCCTGTACCTGCTTCACTCCTGTCCCTGTAGAAGTAACACAAAATATCCCTCACTGTCCCATTTGAAACTAGTGAAAAACTTTTAAGTCCTAACAAAATCTTGAAGCTTGCACACTTAAAATAAAAATGCATGTGGCAGCTGTCAGATGTACCAACATTAACAGTCCTACACCAGAATTGCAGCTTCGTGTTGGTGCAAACAGTGAATAATTAAAGCTGGCATTAATACACAGCATTCTGAATGTAATCAACCAACTGCCATTTAGTGCAATCAATGGGCATAAAAAAAAACATTCCATATGAAATTCGCATCTCACAGTGTCGCACCCAGCACTCTACTTAGTAGCTGGGAGATGAAACCTTAGTCTGCCTACAAATGAGCCACATCTGTAAAACAAATATGTGCACAAACTTCAAGTTCTTGAAACAAGCTTTGATTGAATACTGTGGTCGCCATGTGGGTTCTTGAACCCGATTTTGTACAAGGCATCTAATTACTGATTTACTATAATTGGATGTGTAGGGCAGAACAATTTTTGATATCACAGCCTAGCTGTAAACCACAACACAGTGTGTCAGCCATCATTTTAAGGGCAGGAGCAGAAGAAGAAGCAGAAACAGTGACATTTCCATGGATGCTCATGCAAAATTTAAAAAAGTAAGAAGTTAGTGTGATAGTTTTTGTAAACATTTTCTTTGCTTTTACAACAGGTTGCAAGAATTCTGTTATCAACATGGAGGCTAGAGCTATTGATTCTAAGATGCTGACTCGCCGCTGTGCAGTTGCCAGGCTGCAGGATGTCACCATGCCCAAATACCGAGAGTTGATGAGTCAGAACGCTGGGGCGCTGCTGGTAATTCTTCCGAAGAATTTATCAGCGCTATCATTAGAAGAGAAACAGGTCAGCTTCTCAACAGTGAATAAATATGTAAAATTAAATATTTTTTTAATGGGTAAAATAAGGTAATCTTTTTCTTAGCTTCACCAGCTGTAAACTCAGGAGGAAAATTTTGGGTGTTTGTCCACTTCTGGACTTTGGTCTTGTTTCAGATCTTAAATTTGCATGCACATGTTTTTTACAGATCCGGCTTATTTGTATGCCGATATTGTTAGTTTCTTACATCTCAGACAGATGCACTGTGACTTAGGAGTGGCTCTGAGTGCCACTTGAAACAGGATGGGTAGCTAACCAGGTAACTGGTATCATCAATATGGAGACTCTTTGCTAGCCATTGAGGAGGGAGATATAGCTAATATGGGCTTGTCCTGAATGCTGTGATGTCAAATGCTTACCCAGATGAACCCAAATTAAAAAGAAAAATACATAATTTGTTGCTTTTGAAGGCATTCTTTTGTAGAGGGGAAAGGAGAGCGGGTGTCGGTTATTTTTCTCTTCCCCAAAATGGTGCCCCGAGAATCCACAGGGAAAGATAAAGTAATAATATGATTATACAAATATAAGGCCAGCACCAAATGCCAGGGGCTATTCAAGACATAGGAACAGGTCCTGTACTTGTTGAATGCTGAAAGTCTTGCTGGGTGAAATATTTTTGTGTCCATGTTTCCTTAAGAGATTAAAACAAATTGTCATTGTAACACCATGACAGTATTGCCACAAAAGGAAAGTGTTTGTGCAAACTTATCATCGACAGCCCCTGTCCCTTCAGTCAAATGTTTCAATCCAAAACAGCATAACCTTGAGCACAAGTGATGCAAGTTTCACTTAGACCACATTGTTGCAGGAGGAAGGAAAATTTATTAATAAAACTATCAGCTATCATATATTTTATAGACCAGTGGGTACTAGGTGGGTGATATAGTCATCATTATGAGGGCCGTCTTTACTTCCTAGGACTTTATCTGGTACTCATCTAAGGCTGGGTCGTTCTGGGAGAAATAATAGAGGCAAGTAACAATGTGGTCATCAAAAAGACTTTCGCTACTAGTGGATGAAAAACTACAAGAGCAGATAGAGAAAAATATAAGTGTTGGGGCAGACAAATTTGTCTGACATACTTCTATTAAAATTATTAATCTATTGACACACAGTTACTTCGAAAATATAAATAATTTGCTCACAGCATGTTTTTGTTTTAATCTACTGGTTAGTGAGTTCATTTAATTATTTTAATTTATGAATATATATATGTGTAAGTTTACGCACACATAAAAACACAAGGTGACCATCATTATTTTATGTTCTTTTTTTTGTTGTTATTTACTAAAGCATCTTCAGAGCCTTGAACAGGAGCTTTTGCAGGAGGCTGTGTCAGTACCTGTGTATTTTGCCACGGAATCTGAATTCCTAAATGACATATATTTAGATGTGCAAGAAGGAAACACAGGAGACAATGCTCCGACTGCTTGGGAAGGTATTAACTTCCTGTATTTTTGTCCTTTTTCAGACTAACATTTTAAATTTTAATTGTGGGCCTTCCTCTTTTTTTAAGCGTTGAAGTTGCGAGATCAGAGCATAGAAAAGAAATTTAGACAAAGGAATGAGTAATATGAAAGATGTGGAATACTAATCCTGGCTTAAACACTGTGTGATAGTCTTTTGAGCTCTTTGGTCATCACTTTGGGTAAATCTTGCTTGCAGACGCCAACTGCAGTTGCAGTTATGTTAAATAGCTGTAAATTGGACATAAAGACTCTGGTCACTAAATACCAGTATAAAGATCCCAGATTTCACTGGTTGCTATTCCAGTGGAAACCAAGCTATATGGATCAGAGGAAGAGGTGTACAGACTGCATAGAGGCCTGTGACCTTCTTATCTAAAATCCACTGACAGGGAGAATGAAAAAAATTAAGAAAACTAGTCAATTAAAAGGTGTAGTGAACTATTTTATAAATACTGCACTTGTAATACAATATTCTTACCAGTACTGTGCTGTCAGTGATAAACATGGACACTGTCTCCAGAAGACAGAAGGAAAATAGTCATGACAAAAATGAAATGTTTGTGTAATATGCTAGGTGAAATGAGGAAAGGTCAACTTAGGAATGATGATACCAGGAGGAGGGTCGGCACATAAACAGTTATAAACTTTAAAGCTAGACAACAAATGGTTTGACCATGTGACAAGATTGGCATCAGACGGTAAAACAGAAAGCAATGTTTTACAGATACAACGGTAGCAACCAGAGGTCAGCCACGGAGAAGATGGACCGTAGAAATACCAGACCCAGTAAAAAGTACTTTATGTGAAGCGAACAGAGGGACCAGTTCCAGATATCTCTTCCTGCTCTAACACTGTCAGGCATTCCATGAGTAGAGAAAAGAAGAAGTAACCGTATTGTAGTTGTGCAGCTGTCTGGCTTAGAGGTTAGTGAGTGCATTTCATAAACCTCAAAGTGCAGGGGTTTGATTCCATAAAAAATGGTTTATTCAAAAATTTAAAAAATTAAAAGGCCTTTACGGCTTTCAGACAGGGGTAGGAAAGTCACGCCAAGTGAGAGTTTTGATCCTCACCACACAATTTTTCCAGAGATAGCTTTGGGCAACTACAGCCAAACTATTAAGACAGCCCACCATATTTATTTAATTGTGTATAGGGGTGATTCCTCATATCTGTGATCGTTTAAAGTGTTAATACCCTCCCCCCCCCCCCCCCCCCAACCCACTGTTTTGTTGTGTTATTTAGTGAATTTTAAGAGAAAGCAATGCATATTTTAAAGAAACATTTCAGTATGTTTATACCTACAGAAGTAACGAGAAGATAAATTTTTTAAATAAATTTGTTTCGTGGTGTAAAACCTTGTGGGTCTGAATATACTGCAATGATTTTCACTTAAATGGTTTTAAAATTGATTCTGATCCAGCCTTGCTGAGTTCAGCCACAGCTAATGGCTTTCAGCTGGTCATCTCAGGCAGTCCTGCGGAACCTCTGCCAGAATTTGAGGTCGCAAACATTCAGGTAAACAGGATTACAGTATGTTGTTAAGAAGTTTTAATTGAAACTATCATGTTGTTATTTTCTGCACTCAAGAATTCTTAGTTGTAATTCATTTTATGTGACAAACACATTATCAATATTTATTTGACGTGGTTTGTTGAATAATTTTATCCTCGTGTGTGTTTTATATCCATTCACGGAATCAGATGCAAGATAAAGTAAATATACTTGATGTGAGATCACAGCAACTAGGTCTGAAAATCCATAAGCGAAAGACAAAGATAATGAGAATAAATCAGGCAAAAAGTAATGTGGTTTCTCTTAATGGTACACCACTCCAAGTTGTGGGCAGTAATGTAGATAAAGATGGAGAACTGATAGAGATATTAACATATACAAATACAAAAGGCTAGAGAAACTTTCATAGCACTAGGGAATTTGTGGAGGTAAAAAAAAAAACTAAAAGAAATAGTAAACTTAGAATTTTTAATTCTTATGTCAAATCAGTCTGTTGTATGAAGCTAAAACATGGAGAACAACTAAGGCAGTTACTAAAAAACCACAAACATTCATTGACTGGTATTTGCGCAGAATATAGGGAATTATATGGTATGATAAAGTCACTAAAATAGACCTTTGGAAGAGAACTAAGCAAGTTCCAGTGGACCAAGTGGTGAAGAAAAGATGCTGACATTGGATAAAAAAACATTGAGAAAACCAGAGAAAAATATAACTAGAATGTCTTTGCTCTGGAACCCACAGAGATATTGGAATAAAGGAAGACCAAAAAACACGTGGAGAAAGGGGCTAAAAAGTGAGTTAACAAGATGTGGAGAACATGGGGGAGAACTGCATGCGATAGCAAAGGATATAACGACTTGGCTTTAGTTGATTGAGGACCTATGCTCATTTGCGGGTTAGAAAGGCAGAAGAAGAATTAGAGGTATTTTTGTCGAAGTCGTAGTGTATCTCCCAGAGAGAAGAGGAACCAGGCCCTGAATAGTCTGTCACGAAAGTTACACTGTTGTGAAACTTTCTACTCCACTCATACTTTTTCTGGACTGACAGCATGCATTATCATACTGAAGCTTTATTTGGCGATTAATTTAAATAGTTTTCACATCTTCACTGATCAGAAAATAGATAACAGAATGGTGCTCTTCTTTGGTGCATGTCAAAAGTGGGGTGGCCACTTTTGAACTTCACAATGACCTCATATGTTCATCTGCCTAACACTCTGTACATCCTTTTATTTATTTTATATTCTTTTTATTATCAATTTTGCTTGTACAATAAATTTGTATCAGTAGCTTTGATCTTTTTCCCACCTAGGGCCATTTATCAGGCTATGGTATTGAGGAGCAGCTGCCTACAATTGTCATCACTGCACATTATGATGCTATGGGTATTGCTCCAGTAAGTTTTGTGAATTACTTGAAATTTGATAGGTTTTGGGAATTACTTGAAATTTGATAACTCTGGCTTCAAGTTTTTTTTCCCACCATCTCTCAATGTCTGCATTATTTATATGCCATTGTTTTAGTAACACGTATCCACTGTGTTAGTTTCTCATTATATAACACATTTGTTGTTGTTAAACAAAGGTTAAATATATTTGCAAACAAATACCTCCAGAAATTAAAGGAAATTAAATCAAGAATGGCTACAGATGCCAAATAAATGTCTGAAAAATTACTGATGTTGATGGTTATTACAGAAGGAATGTGGAAATACCTTGGGTATATTTTGAGGTGAAATGGATAAAACATCACAAAATATAGGTCTAGCTCTATATGCCCAGTATACTTGAAGGTGTGGGAAAAGGATCCTTTGCTTTTCATTTGCATGGATTGTATAAGATAAAACATAATAGAGGAATCAACTTCAAGTCCATTGTGATGTGTAAAAAGCACAAGATGATGATACTTTTATAAGAAATGGGCTGTAAAGCAAAAATGTAATGTGCTTTTAGTTACTTGTTTAGCTTTTATATGTCATTGTGTAACTCTGCTGTATTAGCTGCTTTATTTTTACTTATTTAAAATTATTCACAAACTGTTTTATTTGAGACTGTTAAGATTTTGTATTTTTTTTTTTATTATTTCACTGTTTAACATTTCCGTTTATTTCCTAATGGTTTTAATACACAGAATGACCATTCAAACATTGTAGAAAATACAGAGCAAGAATTGGATAATGGATTTATCTTCTTATCTTGTTTTCAAACACATTATGACATAAAAATTTGTTAATTCATATCTGCTGTTCTAACAGAAAAAAATGGGTATATTTCTAAGTGCTATGGTAATTTTGTGGCTAGACTGTTTGCCTTGTGGTCTTATGTTCGGATCCCCAAGGAGATAAGCCGTTTAAACAAATTTGATTTGAACCACCAGGTCGACACAGTATAACACGGATACCAAGACATTTCTGTTGGTAAAAGGCAGGTTACATGATATTGACATCATTTATTGAGCACCAGTTTGTTTGTTAAAGCCTGGGTTAATACCATAAACCCAATACGTCTCAAAGTTTGGAGCAGAGTTCTTTATTTGCTGACATTTCTAAATAGCATTGTAATTCAATTATGTTTATTTTCTTACTGTTTGGAACTGTTTTTAATTTCTATTTGATCTCTAAGGCTCTCTCGTATGGGGTGGACTCCAATGGCTCTGGTGTGCTTCTTCTGCTTGAACTGGTCAGACTGTTTTCAAAGCTGTACACAAACTCACGCACTCATGCGAAGTATCCTTTTTGTTGAGTGTACCTGATGGAATGGCTCCCGTGTTTATGAACTCTAATTCATTGTAGACAGTTCTTAACAAGCATCATGGAATAGAAACATTGGAGTTTGTGATATTTGATTACTGAGAAAGAAATATAGGAGATGAACACACAGAAAATGTCAATAAGAAATATGTATTGCTAGGTTTTCACATTATTTTTAGCAGAGTTTAACATTCAGAATTGTTGTTACCAACCTCTTGTTATAGGAAACATCAGCCTATGTGCTGTACAATAAAGATGGATTAAGAGAAAATAGAGATGAAATCAGTAAGGTTAGCCAGCCATGTCACAAAACATTACTATGAGAAATACAGGTAGCAGCTAACCTGACTGATGGAGTGCTGCAGGGAAGATTATTGAAAAGTATGCAGCATTTCTGCTGATGAAATGGTCTCTTTGAGTGAAATAGGTGTTTTTCTAGTTAGCGCAGAGTTAATGGATCCTTTAACCCTGGTGACCTAGAAAAAACAAAGCCAAACTCATGTACTTTCTATTTATGGAAGAGGGGGGGGGGATATATCTGGAAAAACATTCTTTGAAAAGTAACCATTCCACGCATGTCACCAAACACACACAAAAATCAGTGTATCATCCTATACATAAAAAAAAATACTTTACAGAGTAACGGGTGCAATTGGTAAAATCGACCAAGCATCGAATCATCTGGCTTACATCTCTTAGGTCTGATAAAACTTAACAAATTTAGCCTGAATAATGCAGTTTTTAAAAAGAACCCAAGCTCCCAAAAATGCTATTCATTTATTTAGTCATGCCCTGTCATGCTGCACATTTGTGCAGACACAGATGCACTGAATTCTGTTAGCTAGGCATCTCTGAAACATGTCTGTAGCAAGTCAGGAAAGCGGCTCTTACAGGGAATGGTACCAGCTGTAAGTGCCATGGGACATTTTCTTTGTTTTACATGGCAATGGGCCTTTCACGTGTATTCAAGATTGATACAGAGCGGTCAGCAAAAACATGTCAGGTCCTCCAAGACTGTCCCAAATACAACATACTAAGGCAAGAAACACCAGTGCAAGCCAAACTTTACGGGTTGTTGATTGAATTGGATCAGTTTTTTAAAAATACAGAAGTCATGAGAATATATAAAGAACGAGAAACCATTGACATAAAGACCATAGTCTGAAATAAATGCAAGAATTTAAATACTTAGAAAGCATCTGTACATACACTGGTAAAACAGACAGAGAGAACCAACAAGTCAACAGTGTCACATACCAGTTTGCTCCAATTTTAAAACACCCTGCTGCCCAAAAACGACAAATTGTAAATACAATGTTCATACTGACTTTAGGTTACCAATATCAAACTTGGACACTGATAAAAGAACACAAATGAAAACTAACCACTTGTGAGATATGATGTTTGAGAATAGCTGTGAATAAAACTAGAAGAGATTGAGTGAGAAATGACGTGATCACAAGACCTGTTGGAGAACAACATTCATTGTCAAATTTATTAGGAAACAAAGAGTAAAATGGTTTGGCCGTCTAATGAGAATGAAACCAACGATGCCAGCAGCAAGAGTGCACAACCTTAAAATCTAAACACCAAGAGGCAGGGGAAGACTGAGAAGAAGATGGATTGAAGAAGTACCTGTACCTTGAGACTGCATAACATCATGGAAAATCAAGCGACTGAGCGCCCTGGCTCGGCTGCCGATCATCTAATAAATCGCGCCTAGCGGCATTAGCAGATATTGACAAAAAAGAATGAAGATTAAATTACAACAGACAGTGAAGTTCATTATAGAGGCAACATTGCAGATACAGATAATCTATTTCAAGTCAACAAAAGAAGAAGAAGAAGAAGAAACATATAATTGCATGTGCCTCCTTAACTTCAAAAGATATAATCTTGTCTTTCTCTTGTCTGGTGCTGGGAAATTCAATTACCAAGGTACAAAAAGATGGATAGAAGACAACTTTGAATCTGCAGGTAAGCCAAACGCCATATGTACAATTAAAAAAATTAAATTACACCCCACACCAATCTCGGCGTGTTTAAAAAAAATAGTTTCTGGACTTAAAGGGGCAGTTAGTATATTGTTTAAGTTTAAACAACGGATCAGCATCATGGCACAAGGGTAGTAACCCATAAGTGCTCTGTTTTTCTTCTAACTCAAGCCTGAGTCCGAAGAATCTCAGCTCAATGCACGAACTCTGTAGCGCTGGCGAGGACGTGAAAATACTTTGGGTAGATTTTTTACTCTGCCTTTTAAAAAGATTATACTATTGTCAAAATCAACACAAAGTGGTATGCTGCCAAATCTTTAGCTGAACTGAATCTGGTATATTGAAATTATGAAACTATTCTTAACCCCTAAGCTACAGATGCTGATGTATTTAATTACCGTTTCTGTGTGGCAAAATGTGTCAAGTAATGAATTGAATGGAATTGTTGGTCCCAGAAAAGCTAACCCAATGAGCTTATACTTGCAAAAGTCTGATGTTTTGGCCAAAGGGTACAAATATTGCAACAATGCTGTAAATGGGCACAGTGCAATCACATCTTCTAATGAAAGCAAAAAAAAGAGGAAGAAGAATTGTTTGCCACTAGAAATTTGTGAGTAAACTGTTATCAGATGGAACCATGTTAAGGTGCCAAATCCATTTTTACAGTAAAGCTATTCACATAATTGAATAAATTACCTTAGTTACCTCACACTGATTTCTTATTCTAATTCTACTTTAATGATTTGAATTTCCTGTAACACATTGTGGGGAGTCTAGTGAATTAATTCCTTTTCTGCTAATTTGACAAAGGATAGCTTGTGCTTTTAATGTTCACAGCCTTTATATTTCTCTTATTGGCTACAATAATTTTTACTTTAATGCTAATGTTTTTCTTATACTGATACTGTGTTTTCTTTACTCGATTTTTACAATTAATTTTTTGGGGTTGGTCCTCAATGTGCTAGAATTCAAATATGAAGTTAGGATTAGATGTAGCAGATGCTAGTGAAAGAAATCTAGGATCTGGTTTTAGATTTTGTGAAACTGATGTCAGATTTCTTGTACAGTTTCATTTCTATTCATTTCTGTGAACAGAAGGAAACATGTTGTCTGATGTGGCATTTGTGCTTTGCTTGGATACACTTGGGGCAGGCAGTGAGCTCAATCTGCATGTGTCAAAGCCACCCAGAGATGATGGTGCAGGAGGAAGATTTTATAAGGCAAGTGTGTCTCTTTATGTGCAGTTGGCAGTCTTAGAGCTTGTTAGATTAGTTGATGTAACATTTTCAGTATCATCTATTGTTTTTATTGTCGTTGTTAATAATATAACCACATTGCCAGAGCAGAAATATACAGTGGAAAATCTTTAGTGCAAGACAACCTAGCATACAACACCACAGTATCTATCTAGCATGAGAATGGAGGTGGAGGCAGTCACTGCAGCTCTCCGGTGGCTCTCCGAGAGCAAGATGCATACACATGTCAAAATTGTAACAGACTCTGAAAGCCTGCTGAGAAAGGTGAAGACAGGGATGCTTCGAGCAGAGTGGCAAACTTCACTGGAAAGGTCGCGCGTAGTGAGCATACTTTGGATCTTTTTTCCAAGCTATGCGTGCATGGTGCGTAATGAGCAGGCAGACAGATTGGCTGGATCTGGGTGGTGAATTGATACATGACAAGGCAGATGTGGTCAAGGCCCTTTGGGAACAAGCAACAGAAACAGTAGAGAAACAAGATTATTATGGCCTGGAGAGAATGAGGCACGTGGGTGTAACCAGAGGGTCTGGCCGGCTCACTTCACTCTTAGGAAAAGCAAGACGGACATAAACCAAATTGTGACCGGTGCCATCAGTATTGGAACTCTGCGCTGGCTGCTGAAGATGAGGACGGAGTACACATGGGTATGCCTCAAGTGCTGTGGTGTCAATTCTTGACTCAACTCAACTCTCCTTATTTAATTGTCAGACTGTACTGATGGGCTGTTCAACTGCCGGCCCATGTGGCAAAATCCAGCCTGCAGAGACCTAGCAAGAAGCTTATTGCCAATTTTATGGAATTAATGATCTTTCTACTCTAAGACTTGAGCCTCTAGTCCGTGATGGTCGGCATTAGCAGCATTTTGACCCCATGAGCCACTGAGTTGAATAGCCCTGGTGTAGAGCTTGCTTTTGCTTAATTGATTTGGTATGAATAATTACTCTACTTTGGTTTTTTCTTTAGAAGAGTTATTGAAAATACTGTTGACAGAAGAGAAGTCAGGTGTTGAGAAAATTAAGCCTCATGTCAGGAAAATACTGGGAGACGAGCCATGGAACAATAGTTGTCAACAGCTTAAGCATCAGGGCAACAAAAGCTTCATCAGATTATCTTCTGCAGAGAAGATAGAAGAGTTATTGTAGAAGGCAGCTGAAGAAAAAGAAGAATGAGGTATATATAACAGCATACTTTTAACTCTTTTAGCATCAGAGGCCCAAGGGGTAGTCAAGAGAGATGTGAAATCAGGGCATCTTGCGTTCATTAGGCTTTTAGCTAGGAACCTGTAAACGCATGATGTGTTTCTTAGAACTGAAAGAGTTAATGTCTAATTATGGAGTCATGTTAGACATTGTTGTCATTATCAAGATCACTTGGACAACAGTAAGAATGAATACACTTTCTGTCTGAAATTGTTCATTTAACCATTGCAAATCTTGTGTAAACCTCCTTGCAGCATCTGGAGGATATTGCCAAAGAAAACTTCCCAGATGTCAAAATAGGGATGGTGCACAAGAAGATCAACTTGGCTGATGAAATGCTGGCATGGGAACATGAAAGGTTCAGCATCAAACGCATGCTTGCATTCACTGTCAGTCATCTGGACACTCCCAAGAGCTCTGACAGGACAACAATCCTTGATACAAGGTCTGTATGAAGCCATGCAGCATCGATTATAAGAAATGATATTATAGAGTTTAAGACCTTCTCAAAAATGTGACAATGATTTATCATCTCTTGGGCCATTTGCGGTTCGGATTGCCGTAACTGTTCGTTGTCTCCTTTTTTCGTTGAAGTCCAGCATGACTGAGTGTTATTTCTTTCTGTCTAAGCAAGAGACTGGGTATGATCAGCTAAAATGTATATGGTTCAGGCTGCATTCTGTGTTATTTACAAAATTATTTTTGATGTGAGCACACAGTTTAAAAAATTATATATTTTAGATGATTTAATATCTGGTAGTGTTTGTTGTCTCTCTGAAATAAACATGCTTTTTAGAAAATGATTTAATCATACTTCAGTAGATCCTGACCCACTGCCACATAGCAGGAAATGCATTTTGTAGACAGATTTGTAAAAATGGAACACTCATTTATTGTCATTACCAGAAATCTATTCACTTTTCAATGGGAATTACAATGAATTTTGGAGAGAACAAACTAACAGTAAACATCCACAAGAACCTACAAGCAGACTCAACAGGAAAAAAAAAATACAACAATTAAAGACTTTACAGTCTCCACAGTATGCATGTCAAACGTGACCACAAACACCTGAGCACATTTTGCAGGCCTGCCCGCTATACTTAACACCTAGAGAACCTGGCCTCGAGGGCAGAGTGTGCAGAACAATCTATGGGGAATAGGGCAGTAGTAGTATTTTTTTTTTAAACTCAAAGTTGAGATATTCACAATGAAACTGTTTATGAAATCATTAAGAACTTTGTTTAAGTAACCAACTGAAAAACAGACATTCGGAGAGTTTTAAGTAGTGAAATAAGTTTACGGAAAATATTTAACTCTGTGAAACTGTTAACTTAACATAGGAAAATCTATTAACAAGATTGTGGGATAAAATTGTTTGGCTGCTTACTTATCATCAAAATAATAAATCTCCTGGAATAGTTTCTGTCTGCTTGAAATAGTTTACAAAAATTCAGTAAACACGTTTCCAGATAGTGAAATTATTCCCATTCATTAGATTCTAGGAAACAGCTCATTACTTCATACATATTCCAAACATATCAGTATTGCTATTAAAACCTTGTTTTCCATCTCTTCTGTTTTGAAGAAAACCTATCTTTTTTTGGTAAACTGAATATAATTTCATTATTCACAGGCTTGAATGATTTCTCTTCAACATTTTAGGGAAAGAGTTAGCACCCCAGTCATTTCCAGAAACATCCTGTTAGTTGCTGAGGCCCTTGCTCGACAGATCTACAACTTGACCAGCCAGGGAAGCTTCCAGATCTTCACTGACACCTTAGTAAGTAAGCCCACTGTTTCGTTTGTTTGCCTATCTTTTTATTGTATACCTGTATGATAACTGAAAGTGATTTCACTCACTATAGGCAAGTCTTCTGTGCAGTTAAGTTGGAGTATCAGTGTCGTAGTTGCTGTCATCTACATCTCAATGGAAATTACTTCCTGTATCGTACCATTATACTAATTTCCTTAAAATACTGCTATATACACTGTGTTTCCCAAACTTGTCTTTGTCGCAGCGCTTTTTTTGTTCAATTACAATTTTTTCACGGCACCCTAACATAAATAAAAGTATGACCATTTGCATGTAAGAGATTAAAAAAAAAAAAACTTGTGTATTTTCAAATATTTTAAAGCACCTTTTTGAAGAGGCCGCGTCTCCCCGGGGCACCGTGGCGCACAGGTTGGGAATCATTGCACTAGTCCATCAACTGGCAGACCCCTTGTGGCCAGCTGATCATTGACAGCTGTATTATATTAATGGTATTTCTATGCTTGGGCTCCGACCTCTGGCCTGTGTTGATCCCCATTTTCAAAATGTTTGTCCCTGAGTAAACTTAGTTGAATAGCCCTGATGTACGCAATGCTCCCAATCCACTTTTCACCCTAACAGTTGTTTGTGTCACTGCTGACATTTCATTGTTATTGAAAATCTGTTAGATGAAATGAGGAAACTTTAGTGAATATTACTGAATAAAACGGTGATATGCAGTACTTTTACACTTGGCTGTTTTAGTGAGTCTAATGCAGAAACGTTTTTTTTAAATTAAGATAAAAAATGCTATTGTATCACAATGCAAGTTTTGAAAAGAAACAAAAATGACACAAATATTGCATAGTTTTAAATATGTCTGTTCTTAAATGTGTGCGTTTTTAGCTGTAGTTAAAATAATAATCTATCATAGTATTATGATTTTGTTTTTAATTCATATGATTCTTTAACAGTGATATGATTTTAGGTGTAGTTCAAATGATTAATTTATACAGCTGTATGATTTTATTAGCTGAAATGATTATTTATTTCCCACAGTCTGTGGAAGATCCTGTGATTGATTCATGGCTAGACTACTTCTCCAGTGTGCCTAGAGCAGCTCAGCTACTCAAGCCTGACTCAGAGTTGGTGGTCACTCTTGAGCAGACAATGGGGCGCTACCTCAAGGATGTCCGCAAAACATTGGTCAAGGCTGACAAAAGGTGCACTTTCGTTTTTTTTTTTTCTTTTATAGATTTAAACCAGTTTTAATAGGCTTAATAATGGATTTTTTCTGTGTCTTGCTTCTGTTTCAGTGAATTTATTTATTATATTGAGGAGTGACTGGTGGAGCAGTAAAAATGCTAGGCTCTCATGTGAGAGACCCAGGTTTGATGCCTCAGTGAAGTGATGGACTTTTCTGTCGAAGGCAGAAATAAAAACCCTAACCTGCACAGGTTATGGAAGCTACACTAGCCATGTGTTTCTACATTCTTACACTCAAAATCCCACCTTTAAAAACTATTTTTTTTCACAATGCCTAAAACAGAGTTAAATGCAGGTAGTAATGACATTTGTTTATTCTTCAGTATACTATGAATTATCTGTAATAACACTACATTTTTGTGTTTCTTTTATTGCTGCAACAATATTTGTTGATGTTAGGAGAATTTATTTGAAACCCGCTTTGGGTAGTTTTGTGCATTGAACATGAACACGACACAATCATGTCTGTACTGGCCAGTGAATAAAAGAGCATCTGCTTATTGTCCCGTGATGCATACTTGCTGCTTTTAACTGTTGAGAAAATGGTCAGGGTGATCCAGAATCCATCCCCAAAAAAGTTCAGGGAGCTGTGATTCATCTTCTTTTATTTGAAGGATGTCGACCAGGAGACATTGAACATTCATTGAACATTTGTTGAACATTTATTGAAGAATGCAGGCAGCTTTTGGTATAACAAATGTATGGTGAAGACAGCAGTGACAGACTTGGTACAAATGTTTCGGATAGGGTGTGAGTTCATGACAGACCTTTCAGGGCCGGGACAAGTGTTAACGAGAGAATTCGATGTGTCAGTTGAATCAGTGCAGTAGGTTGTTCTAAGAAACTTCAATATCCTAAGGTGTTTTTCCCCCGCATAGTAAATGTCTTCAAGTTTATTAATTCTGATCGTAAATATCATTTGGTAAATTGTGAATGTCATTGACCATAAGTATAGAGTAAGTGACCACAGTTTCATTATGCCACTTAATTTCTATAAAATATTAAATATTTTGTTTTTTACCATTTCAGAGACCCAGAGTTTGTATTTTACACAGGAGCAGAATATGTAATGAATGCCTATAAGTAAGAGATGTCTTTTATTTGCATTAGATCAGTTTATACTTTATTAGTTCTTTATCATATTTTTTTTTTAATTTAAATGAAGCTCCTAGAGACATGTATCTATTGATATTGGCCAATCATGTCTTGGTATTTTGTATCTTGGTTTTGCCTTTACAGTTTTGATTTATTTTACTCATCACAAGAATTTAATCATACTTATAAAAAACCAGTATTATAGTGTAGATTTCATGTGGTTATGATTAGGAATTTATGTCACAGGACTTGGGACAAGCAACTAAGCAGTCAGTTAATCACAACATGTTTGATAAGTTGCTTAGCTGTACAACAGATTGACTAAATGGCATAATTGGGACAGGAACTCATGACCTTATCCAAGAATCTAGTGCCCATGAAAGGTAGTGATAGGCAAGGCTAATGAGGAGGGTGTGTGTGTTTCAGACATTGATAACATCAAACTTACCCTCTCTGTCAGAAGCTTGGAGTACAGCTCTCGCAAATTGCATAATTTTGAACATGGTTCTATAATATTTGGGTCTGCCAGATTAGAAATAACCAGTCGATGGAGCATACAAGATTGAAACAAATATACACTTTCCGCAGAAGTCAGCTGTAAAAATCTAGCAGATTCTGGATATAACCATGTTTATCAAGCGGATACAGGCACAGATGTATTGAACCTACCTACAAGCACATCCACACTACGAAACCAGTAGAACATCCATGATGGAAATCTGTGACGGTGAAATTCAGCCTTGTTTTATACATTTATGAAACATTACTATTTTGTGCAGAAACAGTGATGGAGCCATTAAAAAGTCAGATGTAGATTATTATGAAAAATAAATTATATTAAATGGGAAAAGAAAACAATAAAAATGGGTTCTTGTGTGGCTGGGAATGAAAATAGAAGACACAAATTAAATATTTTGTCCACATTAAAAGACCTGTCACTAAAACCAGAATTCTGTTTGAATTTCTCAAAATCTCTTCCTTTTCCTCGATTGACCTCATATATTTTCAGGTAACTTCCCCTTGTTAGCCCTAGTGTCTGGAATGTCTCTTCTTCTTGGTTTACTACTTGATGAAGGCTTTGGCTGAAAATTTGATTGTTTCTGGGTCGTTTTTTTTATTTTTTTTAATTTATATTTCTAGTGAATTCATCTATAAAAACTGTACTGGTTGGAAAAGTCAGGGATTGGCAAGAAGTATTATATAAGTGGGAAGATGACATCCTGAGATGTCCAACAGCAATCTCATAGTCTACAACAAAAGCTGGAGATCTGTTGCAGCTCAGCGTCATTGTGAAAATGGCACCTGAATGATTGATTGATTGATTATTTATAATTTTCATTTGATAGTCTTTGTCACCAACATTGTTGATTGCTTTTTTTTCAACATTGGATAATATTTATTTATTTTTGTCCTCAAACAGTGTGAAGCCAGCCGTGTTTGATTTATTCCTTGCAGTTTGTATTGCAGCATACCTCACCCTGACATATTTCTTCGCACAGGTATATTCCATGTTTCCACAGCACACTTTTGTTTTGATATTTGTTAATGTTTCTTTAATAGTTAGTGTATGGCATGTTGTTGTCAGTTGCCTCAGTGCTCATCACATGGACTCCTTATTTGGGCTCCCATGCCCCAGTCTGGGTGTGGGGGTATAGACCCACTGCCCCTTAGCAAGCATGCCCTAAAAAGTTGACTAATTAAAGATTTGCTTAAATCGGATATGTTGGGCTGAAAGGAGCAGATATCACAGCCTGTCTGTAACATTGCGTGCTAACTGCTCTTTTAAGATCACATGGGGCAGTTACATCGTGTTACATTTTCTGGAATTTTCTTTATAAAATTGCTGTTTACTTATTATTTAATGCATAACAAACTTTTCGTGAAAAACAAAAGACTAGATTGTTTCATAAAAATTATCAGAGGGAAGAGGTCCCAGGGAGGACAGAAAAAGCGCTATAAGGACACTCTCATGCTCTTATTTCTTTTGGCATCAACACAGCAACATGGGAGGCTGCTGCACAGGACCATTCTGGATGGCATACATATCTAAGGCATAGTGCATCAGCCTGCCCGGCAGCGGAGGTTGCACAGAGCGAAAAACGGAGGCTAGAAAGAATTGTATTGCTAATCCCACACTTACTGCAGATTTCACATGTTGTCCGCACTGGTAAAAAAATCCCAGGCTCATGTTGGACTAATCAGCCTCCTTTGTACTCATAATCATTGATCACTACTACTTTAGTTGAAAAGTGGTCTTCATCATTCGTGATAGACCAACTACATTCTGTGAAACAATTGTATTATAAGGAGGCATGTGGGATTCACAGCCTATGGCGATGGCAAGTGACTAGCCAGACCCACACACATTAAGAAATATATTCTACAGTTATAGCACAGGATTTCATCCCCACTGCCGCCATCATTTGTATTTAGTGTATTTCTCAGACACTCAGCTCTCATCCCTTCTTCAATAATTTCTTCCTTCATTTTCATTCCCTTCCTGATGTGCCTTCTTTGTACAACATGACATTTTGTTCCCTCGAATCCACCTCCATACCTGTGTCATTCCACACATCTTTATATTGTGTTAGAGGTCAGCCTTAACATCTTCTAGTAAAGGACCCTTTTCCACGCCATTAGGCGTATAGGGCATATAGGGCTAGACCTATATTTTTATAGACCAATCGGCACAAGATGGGTGATGTGGTCAGCATCACGCCGGCCACCTTTGCTTCCCAGGACTTCACCCGGTACTCACTCAAGGCTGGGTCAACCTGGGAGCCAAGGTCGTTTTTGAAAATAGTCCGGCTCTGCCAGGGAGCGAACCCACGACCTTTCGATCCGCGACGAGCATCAAGCCGCTCGGCCACGGCGACTTCCAACATCTTTTAACCTATCTGTAATTCATCATAGAGGATATCCTTTTGACTACCATCCTCCATTCTCCAGATGTGATAGCAATGAATATGCACTTAGGTGCAAATAACAAAAATTGCACTTACATGATTTTTGCATAGTAGCAACAAAATGTTTCTATTTCATTAAGCCTGGTTAGGCAAAATTTCACTATATTTATATATCACATGTAAATGTGAACATTTCTTGAAGTTTTAACTGTGCTGTTTCTTACTTTCAGAACTTCCGCTTGATTTACTCTACACTGAAGCGAACTGTGACACCTCTCAGTCCCAAATCTAAAGTTCAGTAATTCAGAGTAAGACATGTTCTATTAAAACCTAAACCTTATGACTAGTTTTTTTCATCAAAAGTATTGTGTGTCGGGGTGAGTGTTTTAAAACCATATATTGGATTGGGGGGATATTTGAAGAAGAGGAGGGCAAAGAACAACCTGGAATGATAATATCAAGAAATGGACAGGACCACGTTATACACTTGTTCAGCAAGCAGAAGATTGAAGAAAGATGGTAGGTTTTATGTGCTAGACCTTCACTAACCTAATGGGTCAAGGGTTATGTTATTGGAAATTTAAAAAAAAAAATTGTATTGTTTTACATTGGTTCATGTTAGCAAATATTTTCTGCCTGATAACTTCATTGTCACCATTTTGTACTTCCTCATTTGCTCATTCATTCTGCTAAGGATGTTGATTATCTTGTGTCCAATTTACTTTAAAAATTTATTTCTGCCAGTATTGGTTGTTTTTGTGTCTGTTTACCTGGAAGCCTGCCATTTACCACTGATGCTCATTTTGTGTCAGTTTATGTGGATGTTGTGTCTTTTGATATTAGTGCTTGATATCTTGCGACTATTTACCTTGATGCTGTGTACGTCAGTCAATGCATGTGTCACTATGTCCTAACATTTTTGATGTTACTCCTTCCCATTTTGAATTGCACTCTCTTGGCCAGACTGCATTATCTGCCAGACTTCTTATATAAAAGACATGCCAGCCATATTATATATTACCTAATCTTTTTAAAGACCTCTTAAGTAAGCACAGGAGCCGCTGTGGTGTAGCAGCTAGACGCTCATCCCCGGAAATTAACATTGTGGGCTCAATTCCAAAGGGATCTGTACTTTTTTAACCTAGGCTCCCAGGTCAGCCCAGCTTAAATGGGTACCAGGGAAGTAACGGGAAGTAAAGGTGGCTGGCTTGATGTTGACCATATGACCCACGAGTGCCGTTGCGTCTATAAAATAGAAGTCTAGCCATATATGATAAGTATGCCCGAAGGTGTGGAAAGGGTCTGTAAAGTACAGTAATGCAAAGATCCAACTTCTGGTGTTCACTTTGTATTGATTATATAGAATCAGTGTCACTGGGCCGTATTGATTATATAGAATCAGTGTCACTGGGCCTAGGGTAGTTTCATCAATGCTAAGTCTGATGCAGCAGAAGTAAAAAAGAATTGTTGCTTTCCCCTCTTGGTTAGCTGCACATGGCAACCCTCCTTGCCTGTGGTTATTTTAGTGTTAAGACTTTCAGGCACACTCTCTTAACTGGCCAGCTCCAAAATAATTGTATGAGACCATACTTATGAAAAGTCCCCTTAACAATCTCAGTCCATTTATATTAGGTCTGCCTCTTGCTTTAACTTTATTCATTTCAGTTGTATTATGCTTGTAAAGCTGATTATTTTTTGGACTTTGATACCGAAACCCCAGGTCACAAGGTCTCATTTTTATTGTGCATCAAGTATTTACAAAATGCATGTTAATTTCAATAAATACCATATCATTTCAGATTGTCCTAGTGCAACATGAGAGGAATAGTCAGCATTGATTCTCGCTTGCGGGAAGAAAGGATACTTTGGCTTTACATAGATTAACACATTTCAGAAATTGATAAATTATTTCTTTCTCTCACATGTCTTTTATTTATTTTTGTCTTCCTCCTTCTACCTTTTCCTGTGTCTTTCTCATTGTTTTTATTCTTCTAATGTCTCAGTAATTACTATGTTTGATTTGATATTCTATTATGTCTAATCATTTTGTACTTGCCCATCGAGCAACAAAAGGATTAGCTATATATGATGTATGCACTTAATCCATAGACTGAAAGGGCAGACTTGTGCTAGAATTTCTGAGTTGAGGCATCCAGTGCTTTTATAGTTGTACAGTATCTTCTTCATGTTCACTGACTGTAAACTCTGGCACAATGATCTGGTTGTTTTCCTACTTCCGGACTTTAGTCTTGCTCCAAAATTTGAGTTTTGTGTGCACACCCTTTTTACAAATCCGGCTTATTTATATGCAGACTGTTGGTTCTTTGCATTTAGTTTGTTACAAATTCTTGAAGATTCTTAGTCCAAGATGTTCTTTAGTTGTCTATAAATTCCCCCTTAGACAGTGGTTCTCAACCTTACTAATGCTGTGACCCTTGAATACAGTTCCTCATGTTGTGGTGACCTGCAACCATAACATTATTTTCATTTCTGCTTCATAACTTCAGAGAATATGTGTTTTTCAATGGTCTTAGGCGACTCCTGTGAAATGATCATTTGATCCTCAAAAGGGTCCCTACCTGCAGGTTAAGAACCACTGCCCTAGGAGAATAGACCTTTAGCCTCCCAGACGAGCACTGAGGATTGATCTGTTATAGTTTCTTACATATCTTTCATTATTCTGTCAGTAACTAGTGAATCGCAAGGAAGTGACTGAGCATTTATGTCCCATCAAAGAAACGTGTGCATACTCAATGTTAACCAGCACTGCATTTTGTTGGTATGTGTAGTATTCACACTTTTTTGTGTTTATCTTTTATATTTTTCAAAAATTCATTTAGCCAGCACCAAATTGTTTAAACTGCTTTCTTTGTTTTTCAGTTTTCCCTTAGTTTTCCTAGGAGAATGGACCTGTAGCCTTCTTAGACAGGTCCTCTTGTTTTGCTGTGTTGTAGTCTCCTTTTATGTCTTTCCATATTCCTGTATCTGCTTCTTTAATTCTAGTTCTGTGGTCAAATCAGTATTCCTTCTTTGTTTTCACTGTGTATCTTTATTTCTATAGGAGAAAAGCTTGCTTTTAGTCAGTATTGTGTTTGCGTAATTTTTTCCTTTTGGCACCTTGTTTAGAGCATGAAAAATTCATGTGGTGGGGAAATTGGCAAGGACCCAAGTGGTTTCTGATAAGAATAACATTCTTCAATGGACCAGGTGTATGACCACTTGTTCAAAGTTGTTTTATTTAATAATTCATCTTCTTTGCGATCACCAGCTGTGAACTCTGGCGGGAAGTTCTGGTTGTTCGTCCACTTCTGAACTGCAGTCCTGTTCCAGAACTTGAGTGTTGCGTGTGCATCCATTTGACAGATCTGACTAATTTGTATGCAGACTGTTGGTTCCTTACCTCTCAGGCAGATGCACTCCAACTTCGAAAAAAGCTCCTAATTAGTCAACTCTTACAACATGCTCTTGGGTAGGCAGTGGGTCTGTTCTTGTTTTCCCTATAATAGGGCCCCAGAACCCACACGGGGAGTATTTAATAATTTAATTTGTTCCTCTGATTAGTGTCGAGCCTGTCAAACCTTCTGATACCTTGGTAACATCTACTAGGCCTTCTTGTCTTCTCCTGTCAAACCTCCTGATACCTTGCGAACACCTACTAGGCCTTCTTGTCTTCTCCTGATACCTTGCTAACAGCTACTAGGCCTTTTTGTCTTCACTTGTCAAACCTCCTGATACCTTGCTAACAATCTACTAGGCCTTCTTGTCTGCACTTGTCAAACCTCCTGATACCTTGCTAACAGCTACTAGGCCTTCTTGTCTGCACTTGTCAAACCTCCTGATACCTTGCTAACAATCTACTAGGCTTTTTTGTCTTCACTTGTCAAACCTCCTGATACCTTGCTAACAATCTACTAGGCCTTATTGTCTGCACTTGTCAAACCTCCTGATACCTTGCTAACAATCTACTAGGCCTTATTGTCTGCACTTGTCAAACCTCCTGATACCTTGCTAACAATCTACTAGGCCTTCTTTTCTGCACTTGTCAAACCTCCTGATACCTTGCTAACACCTACTAGGCCTTCTTGTCTGCACTTGTCAAACCTCCTGATACCTTGCTAACAATCTACTAGGCCTTCTTGTCTGCACTTGTCAAACCTCCTGATACCTTGCTAACACCTACTAGGCCTTCTTGTCTTCTCCTAAACACTCAAATTAACATTAAAGTCTGCAGTGAATTTTTTTTTAATGTGTTAATTGCAATCCAGTATATTACTGTATGGATGAAAGCCTACGTTATGAAAGCCTTAATTTCAAAAAGAAAAACATACTCATGGTTATTCTGTAAAGAAACGGTCAGTTACAACATTGCGGATATCTATTTCAAGCAAAGGAGGAAAGTGCAGCTGAGACCTACACATCATTTCCTATTCATGTTTACTTTTGGAAAGATTTTGTGTGTAATTATTTTCCAAACCATGCAAATTACTGTTTTATACTTGGAAAATTTTTACAGAATGTTTCTTCACCGACTGATTTATTTTAACATTTTGTCGCTTATGTTTTAAAATACAGTCAATTCATTTTTTTTTTGCTTGCAAGGCTACAGTGTTGAGCTTTTAACTTTTACCTGCATTGTTTCTGTTTGAGTTTTGGTAGAAAGTATATTTCCGTTTTGGCAAGTATGTGCGTTACGAGTTAGTGTGATATATCTATCACTTTACATAATCAGAGCATGTGACTGGAGTGATCATTTTGTTTTCTTTTATATGTGTGTCACTTTTCAAAGCAAAATAATGATAGCGTAAATTGCTGGGAAATGTGTGAGGCCATTGAAACAAGTATGATAAATTGTAGTATATTGATTGGCACTTATAGATACTGAAGAAAGAAGCAGAGACGGGAAAAACGTACTATCCTGTGGGGGGGGGGGGGGTTGAGTGATAGACCTATTGCCTCCTAAAAACCATGCCTTAATAGGTGACTAGTTAGGAGTTAGCTGAAATCAGGTGTTGAGTGCAGATATCACAGTCTAGCTGTAAACCACAATACAGCATGCAAAACTGCCTTTCTAAGGATGAGTGCAGAGGAAGGAAGAAACACTAGATGTGAAAATTGAAAGGTTTAGTTACCATACTGAGAATCAAAATTCTTTCTATGACATCTGTGAGTGCTGCTCAGCACATTATAGTATATTTATAAAACAAGACACTGTGTGGTAACAGGTGGTCATGGTTTAAATGTGGATGTGATTGGCAAGAATCAGGATGTGTGTCTAGCATTTATTTCTGTGAAAGGTGATATG